GTGTCTATGAAAAAAAATTAAAAAGCACGTAATTGCATTTTCGAGCTCCATTTCCGGTGTTGCCGTGTCGGTCTGGTCAAAAGTGCAGGCAGATGTAGGCTCTTTTATCCATGGCACTCTCAGCCGTAAAGGTACCTGTCGCAATTGCAGACTGACAATACCTGCCTGCTCTTCCCAAGATCCAGACTAAAGCCACAATTGCAGGTGTCGTTTTTCTCTTTTGGCTTATCTGAGGGAACATACGGAACAACCTTTGGTCAGTAAAGAGAAGGACATTATTTTATCATTATTTTGTTATAGGTTGCTGTGACTACGTACTGTAATGGTACTCATAATGTTTTGGTTTTTAGATACATTATCTTTATTATAAACTACGTTATATGTAATATATGTAAATACATAGCAAAAGCTATGTACTCATAATATCTTTATTTAGAAAAGCCAGAACATCTTATAATTATGAATAGATGGAGTATTAAAAAAATCAAGACTTCTAACCATCTCTTTTTACTCCCTAAAATACCGCTGCACCCTCCATATCTCATATATGATCCGGTACTCATAGGAGTTAGAATGACGACTCACATCCAAGGGTACATAATTCGATTCCGAGACATATTAGGTCCTATTGCAGCACGCATCCACGTTTGCTAATAACCATAAATAAAAATTCAAAGAAAACGAAAATGCAATTATTCAGAAAAAAGCCACAATATCAAGAGGCCCAACACCAATAAGACCTAGATCCACCCTGATGTAACCATACAAATTAAATTAGCGAGAGAAAATCGTTTCAAAAGACCCACCGGAATATCACACATTGTCCTAAATTTTGCCATATTTTGCTCCAAGCCTCTGACACATCTGCTGCACACCTATAACTGAAATTTTAGTTGAAATTTAAAATCCTTTCGGATTGGGTAATCTTTTTTTTCCAAAGAAGTACCCTTTTCCCCAACACATCTGTCGCCAAGATTGGGAAGTATTTTTTCCCAACACATCTGGCGCCAGGCTTGGGGCCATACACAACATGAAATGTTCATGTTATTGTGTGTTTGGAACCTTGTCTTGCAGATACTCCAGAGATGTATTTGGGAAAGTGATTGCTTCTTAGAGTCGATGCTCAAAGCTACATCCCGGTGCTTGGTCGTCTACTACAACTGGTGGCGTGCGATGGCGCAACCACACTTTGGGTCCTCGTTCGGCAATTGTGGTTAGAAAGTGGAGTGCAATGGCACAGCCACACTAGACTGGCAAAAACCACCTAAAACACCAGTAAATCTCATCAAGAGAAGTGCTAGACAACAAAGAGGTTAAAAGAGCTTGAGGTGGAAGATAAAAAGTAATATAGATTGATTTTTTTATCAATTGAATAGATGGATCTCTTAATCTGTTGTGATCCTCTTATATAAACAGAGGTGCTAGTCTTATCCCAGTGGAAAACCTATTCCCCGCACAATCTATAAGTTTTCTATGAGATTGAACGAGTTTCCAACAAGAAAACCAGCTCAAGCCACTTCTAAAACTAGCCAAAGCCCGGTTTTAATGGGCATACATGGCCTATCTGCTGAAACCGGCTTGAGGCAGTTTTTCATGAGTTTTTAATTTTAACAAAATTTGATCCTTGTGATTGCATTTGATTTGATAGTTTCATTTTTAACTCTCCCGATCATATTTTTAGTGTAATCATACAAGCTATCTAAATGGTACTCAACAGCATGCATGTTACAACGATGTGACTTATGGGATTCTGCAAAAATGGGCTAGGCTAGGTTCAAAACCCAGCTAGGCCCAGGTTTGCCTGCAGAAGTCGGCTAGGCCAAGTTTGTCAGCCTTCACTCTCGAGTCTCGAGCGGTCCTCGTGCAATCCAGGCATGCTGGTACTTTAGGCGTGTCATGTGTGACCAATATTTTGCATCAACAATTATGAATTAAGCCTTGAGGTGACAAAAGGGGCTGCGCAGATAATAAGCAAGGCCATACCACCATTTTATTGAAATACTTAGGATGTTCACTACAATTTTTTTTTGTAATGTGGGTTGCTTACACCCAGCTGAGGGCAGCATGAAGTATTAACGTCAACAGATATTCTTTTTCTAATGTAAACAGGAAGCTCCATATGATACAGAACTATTTGCCAAGAAACTAAGAGGAAGTGGCGGCCTGGTCAAGTAACAACAACCTGAGCATCTTTGCCTCCATGGTTTCTCTTCGTCTGATTGAGAAGGGCTGTTGATGGCATCGGCAAAATACTCAACTACGAGCACATGCACACACATTATCAGAGATCGCTAGCGATGGGTTTTGAGGATTCACAAGGTACAACTGAAACATCGAAGAGGTGGTTCAAATTACCAATGTCATCATGATCCGGGGAATCAAGCAGGAGATCTGAGTCTGAAGGCAACAAAAGGGTTGCCTGAGTAGTTCTCGAGAGCTGACAGGTCTGCAAGTCAATCAATAGAAAAAAAAGAGAGCAGGAGTGAGAACATGTCATGGAAAACATAAGAATTTTGTGTTTACACTAAAATTTGGGAAGAAGAACGCGAAACTCGAAGCGTCTAAGATCGTGTCATCAAGGAATCGATTGCATAAGGGTCGATATCAGCTGATTCAAATGCAGCACTGGAATCGGCTCTCCTTTAGATGACGCTAGCAGATAACGACAAAAAAATACGGTTGGCGTCGGGAAAAAACATGTCGGATTATACAAAAAGGGAAAGATTAGGGTCTAAGTTACCTTAAATTAAGAATATTTTATCTTATGCCAGAGATTGTAATGAGTCGTACTTAACTAGGATTCATGCTTAGGTCCCGGGTATAAATATTGGACCTTGGCTATTGTAAAAAAGATATCCAATCAATCAATACAAGTTATTTTTTTTGGCTCCGTGCCAACCCTTAGGAGTAGGAGTAGAGTAGATTCCGGCGAGTTCTTCAACAAACAGGGCTGCATCGATCCGGCCGACCTCCGGCTTGTCTGTAAGTACCGTCATGGCTTATACTTTGGTTTGTACGGCTGCATCGGTTAAGTTCGACCTCCACTGCGAGCTCTAGTATAAGCTAGTTATCGACTTTTATCTAGCTAAAGTACGGCTGCATCGATTCGGTCAACCCCCATTGCTCGAATTAGATTAAAGTCAAGTTATCAGCTCTATCTAAGGGTGGCGTCCTTTGGGTAGATTCATTAAGTTACCGATCTTGCTGATGTTTTTACTGTCAATGGCTTTTCAGCAACATCAACCTGCCCGATCAAGATCGAACTAGATCGGCCTCATATCCTTTTAGTCCGTCCTTTGCTTTGTGACAATACGATGTTTCTTACTTTGAGCGACGGGTTACATTCTATTGGTTGTTCTACCTCGATCTTGATCACGCATAGTACGCGGTTAAGGCACGTATGATCTTGAAGAGGTTTGCTGGCTAGTTAAATCTGGTCTATAGTTCGCTATTATGACTGCAACGATCCGATCGATCCCCACTGATGGCACTTTAGATTGGAGGATGTTAGTTGGTAGATTTGTTCCCGATCAGGCGTGACCTTAGCTGTTTACTATGCCTGCATCGGATAAATAGCCGATCGTCTGCACTTTAATGCTCATAGTATGTCTTCACGATCCTATTAAATATGAGTAGATCCGTTTTCTTTAAAGATTTAATCTGTTATCTTTATTATGGCTGCCATCGATCCGATCGAACCTCACTGTTAAAGATGATATATTAGGTTTGAGGAGTTGATAGGTCTACTCGTATTGAATAGTCGACTGTTTACATGTTGTGATCTTTTTCCTACCGGAATCGGCTCTTTTAGCCGATTCGCCTGCGCCTTCACAGATATAGCATGTCTTTCAGAAACCTATCAGGGTATGGATGGTTTTGTGAATTCTTTGACTTTAGTTTGTTGTTATCATCATAGCTGCATCGATCCGGTCGAACCTCACTATTGATGATAACAGATTAGATTCAGAGCGTTTGTAGAACTGTTCATATTAGACAGTCGATTTGTTTACATGTTATATCCTTTCTCGTCAGACTCATCGGCTCAATGCTTCATCCTGATTATATTTTGTCTAGCTGATGATTTTACTTACATCTGTATTTTTCCCGTCTAGCTGTTGGCCCATTGGATCACCGGTGTTGCCGACCACGACTGACATTGTCCAACCACACACTATGACTAGAGGGAGGACAACGATAGTTCGTGGTCGATGTTATTAGTGCGTGCTCGGCAACATTAGTGAGTGGTCGAACATCTCCGTGCTGAAGATCCAGTGGGCTAACACTGCCTGTTTCCGAAGCGGCACACTTGAAACTGTTTGGGCAAAGACCGACATGTTCCACCTTAAATTACTAATAAACTTTCTCTCCTTGTCAATTGCAGGTCAAATTGACTGGCACGCCCTCGAGAGAAATTCGCAGGGTCAACTGGTCCTGCGTTGAAGCCAAGCGGATCTCTAGTCTTGCTCCGTCAAGTAGATCCTTCCGACTTGCTGTGTGTCTCGACGCATCAACACGTTTTTGCGCCCGACACCTTGCTCATCTGCAACTAGACAGGAATAAATGGTTTGAAGGACAACTAATTAGTTCACTTTATGTGCATAGAAGCTGTGTCTGCTTATGTATATGTATAACTTGCTACCTCTGTCCCAGAAAGATAATCATATTTCAGAAAGGGGAAATAAAGTCATATAAACTAGATTTTGACCATTAATTTCTCTCACAATATGTTGTCATTTGTAAAAGAATCAATATCATCTTAAAGTCACTTTGAATACAAATCGATCGATACAAATTTTATATCCTAAACTTGTAAGTAATTTGACTAATTGTTGGTTAAAGTTTGTAAAACTTGACTTTCCTATACAAAATAGGTTTATCATTCTAGAACGGAGGGAGTACCTTCCTGCACCATCATCAGCCACAAAAGCTATCGTGCAAAAAAAGAAAAAAAGAAAAGAAATGCCGCGTATTACATATGCCATGCTTCCGAATCTAACAAATCAGTGTATCTGGAAGAACTGATTAGACATGGAAATGCTATTCATGATAAGATGTTTAAAGATAACAACAATACCTCCCAGATTTGTCAAATCTGCTGATAGATCAAAAAGACTGAAGTCCCAGATCTGCTGGCCTAAGGAAGAGCCATTGGCACCATCACATCCTATTTGCAGAGGCCGTCCATTTCCAACATCAGCCGGAAATGTGGCATTTGCTGCTGACTCATCCACACACATCCCTGATATCTCAGATGGAGTGAAAGATACATGGTTGCTTGACATCGCAGATGATGGGCTCACAGCCATCTCAGAAGACATAGCACTGCATGCTATGGCAGCATTTGCAGTTTCATGTGTTTTGTTCTCCATTATGCTTCAACAATAGAAAGCAAGCATAGAGTCAGTAAACTAATCTAACATCAGGCTTGGTTACTCCATGAGCTCCTTAAAACAACTCCATAATTTGTTTTTTTTTTTTGGCAAAAAGAAGGAGAAGCCCTCCAACAGTTTTGTATCTGAACTACCAAAAGATAAACACATGGTAAATGTCCCCAATTCACAGATATGGGTGCGTTCGGTTCTTGCTATCCCTCTAGGCGCCCACTGCCCTGTGGTTTTCGGGTGGTTTTCCCTCCCTGCCGCCTGGTTGTCCCCTCTCCCGCTGGGTTTTCGAGTTTTAGCAAACTAAGTAATGGAGAAGGGCAAAAATAGAACTCCCTATTAATTTTCTTCACCTGGCATAATCATCTACAGTTGGTCTCATCATTAAGAGTACTAGAATACTCTCTCCAGTCAGAAATAAGTGAGACTTTGGACATCAATACTGTCTCCAAGACACAACTCTAACTTAGTAATTTTTGTTACAAAATATTTATAAGACCTAGCAAAATTATACTTTTATGAAGCTATATTAGGAGACAAAATACTTTTATATCATTTTGAAATATTTCGATTCAACACACTATAAAAGCTATATGTGATCAAATTTGGTTTGGTTGACTACAACTCAGAATTTCAGTTTCTTTCTAAATCTCCAAAATGAACCATAACTGCTGTTTACAAGATTCTTTTTCTCTTTCCAGTTTAGGATTGTTATGGCAAGTGGAGCGGGCCCAGGTCCCACGCGGTACTGTAGCACGTGGACAGATTAGATTAGATTGGTTTGTTACGAAAGAGATATGTTAGCGCGAGACAACAGCAGGAGGCGGCTAGGGTTAAGAACTCCCGGCTCCCAGGGGAAGCCGGAAACAATTAGATTGTTTCTGCTTGACTATAACTGATACAGGGTTCTCTTTTTACATAGATGACTGACTTGACCCATAAAGAAATATCCTAACCGAATCAATCTAACATATCTCTTTCCAAACAAACCAAACCAATCTAATCTAATCTGTCCACGTGCTACAGTACCGCGTGCTACAGTACCGCGTGGGCCCTGGGCCCGCTCCACTTGCCATAACAAGGATACTATGCTTAACTTGAACAGAATTTGTAAACACGTGAAAGCAAAAGGAAACCAGATAAAATAGATGTGTACCCATTTCCTGAGTTCACGCAGATGGGATGATAACCTCCTGGAGCAAGAATTCCATTTACTACATGACTGCTTGGTGGGTCACAGACCATTGGATTAGATTAACATGAGGCTGACCTGGAGCAGCCATTCCAGGTTGTTGGAGCACAGGGTATCCCATTGGCATACTATTAACTGCACTGGCAACAGGTGGAGTTGAATAAGAAAGACACAAAGCTTTTTTGAAGAAGTGCATCTATTTGTATTCAGTAAAGAGAAACAAAGGAAAGTAAAGAATCAGTTTACAAAAGAAGAAACGTGGAAGTTAACAAAAACACCACTTTCACATTTTTATCCCCCTTTTTTTGTGAGGACTAGTTTTTTTTCTTGGACACACAGGAGAGCTAAATATAATAATTATATTAACAAGAAGAACAAGGAGTCTAGGCGACTCATACAACCCCTTAGAAGGGCATGACCAGTACAGCAGAAAATCACCGATAAACAAACTAAGTAACAACCAAAGACCAACAAACCAATCATGGCCATAAGCTACGAAGCCCTTTGGCTCCTTCCATACACCACAACTTGGCCTCATCTCTAATCCTACATGATGGAATTAAAATTGGGCTGAGATCTCTCAAAGACGCAACCATTTCTATGCTTCCAAGTCCACCATGCCACCAGGACGACCAATTAGTTGGAACCGCATGTTTACCCAACAGCAGCATTTACTAAGGTATAGTAAATCTTCATAACTTCCCACCAAGACAACAAAAAAATGCAAATGTTTAGTTTAATTTATTGTTTCAACTATAGAACTTTGTGCAATTATGACAAGATCTGCTAATGTTTTACTTCGCTTCTTAAATCATCTGTTTGATGGCTGTGTAATGATTTGCAAGTTGCTCTAAGTACAACAAAAAGGGGTAGTTTGCACATTGTAGATTCATATTTTGTTAATGATGATCTCTGAAGCACTTAATAAGATGATTAAAATACACATTTACAGTTTATAATATTGCTGTTCACGAGTTTCACAGGCCTTGGACTGGTGCTGGTATTGGTAATCTGTTCCAGTCCAGCCCCAGCCACACAATTCTCAACTGTGAAAATAATTATCAAGCACAGTCCAAAAGAACAATAAGACCACAAAATATTGCACTCACATTTCCCAGTTTTTTTTTTTTAACGGAAACTGGGAGTGGGAGACAATGCGGTAAATCAGAACAAGTCGTTCAAGATGAGGACTGAATTTGTGTTATGATTTCCGAAGATACACTATGTCACAGTAATTTGCACGTGCCAGATCAATGTGTATTTTCTGTATCTCCAATGCTGGTTAACAACCAAAGGCAGAACTAGGTACAATATGCTAATACCACCTGAAGCAGATTGCAGGGGCCACTCTTGCCGCTGACAGCCTAAAGCAGCAATTAGGGCATCCATTGAGCAACTGTGATGTGTATGTGGTGGAAGCAATTGGAAATTTCAAATAATAAAAGATAAAATGACTGACGACTACCAAAACTGCAGAATTGACACGAGAATCATGTTGAAATAAATGGGCAAGGCTGAAAGAAACAAACTTATTCACTTTCACTTCTAATTTTGTTGCGCGATTGCAGGACAAAGTTATCCATTACCAGACATAGGACGAACTCCATTGGGCATTGGAGCAAATGGAAGCTGCTGGGGTACTGGATACTTCATCAGGTTGTACTGATGCTCCAATAAATGGCTAAACCAGTTGATCTGTTTTTTCAATTTCAACCTTATGTAGTAAGCCCGAAAGAACTCAGAATTCTCTTCTTCAAGCTTTTGCCAGACTGAAAACGAAAATATGGTGGCAAATTTAGTGCTACAGTGGAAGATACACATAAATGACAAATTTTAGAGATAGCAAAGAAGAGGAACATCTTTCCATTAAAGATGTTTCTAAGACCCACAAGGTTAAGATCTTCACTAACCAGTTAAAACAACTAGAGAAATACAATTGGCATAATGAGGTTAAAAATAAATAAAGCACATATTTCAAAGAAGATTTAGAAAGAATAATAATGAAATGGGCTTATTAGATTATCTTAGTAGCTTTTAAGAACAATAGCATCACTTAGGCTAAAAGTTATAGGGTGACAGCTTTGCAGTGAAATTCCTCTTAACAATTGAAGGTACCCAACTTAGGCACAACACAAAAATATTTCTATTTCACAAATACCTACTGCATTACCCAGATATAGCTTAAATTGGCTCCTTCAGATAAAGAGGTATATTGCATACATTAAATGGTACTACATGATACTTGACCGACAGTTCATAGAGGTTCCCAAACTAAGAAAATTGAAATGTAGATCATTGCTCATAATTATATTGTTTAAGTGGGTCACTGTATGTCACCAATACGCCAGGTCAGATATAAGTTTGTCACAAAGCATGTTTACCAATGGCACCATGGAAATATATGATGAGAGAGAGGAGAAAGCGTGGAGCCAGATGAGCTTCCACATGAACGACGCTTCAGCACACAATGCACTGGCAAAACCACCACGTGGCCTCTATTGAGCTACTCCCTCCGTCCACAAAAGAATGCAATTCTCACATTTCATTTCGAGGAGTCAAACAGTTTGAAGTTTGACTAAAATTATATGAAAAACTAATAATACTCATGGGACAAAATAAATACCATTAGATTAGTTATAGAATATATTTTCATAATAATTTTATTTGGTGGCATAAATGCTAATAATATTTACTATAAATTTGGTCAAACTTGAGCCAGTTTGACTGGCACAGTTCCCATAATTGCATTCTTTCCTGGACGGAGGGAGTAGTTATACAAGTCTATGGATGTAGAAACATCAGAAGTGAAGTTTACTGTATTATATGCACAAATAAAATGTAGTATCGAATACAACACCTAAAGTTGTGAAGCCAGGTTCTGTTCGTGCACAATTAGAAAGAGTTCTAACAACTTCTCCTTTGTTCATATATAGCTGTAAACAACGCTCTATCATATTCTGGACCTGCAAAAACATTTTTTTTTGTTGCTTAGAAACAATAGATGATTACAAAGTAAAGCTCTATAAACTGTGGACATTTCAATATTCAAAATAGAATAAATTCATCTTACAAGTTCAATGTCTTCACGAGAAATCTTTTTATTATCATTACTAGAAGCTGATATCGAACCAGAATCTCCTCCAGTTGCATCAATGACTCTTGTATTTATCTGTTCAGCTTGCTCTCGATCACGACCCTGTACCGTCTGAAACCTTTCCTTGTTCTCAATATCCTACACAGAAGACCCAGAAGATGATATTGAATCACTGCAAAAAAGATAACAGATAGCTACAGATGACAGATAGCACAGGAATTACTGATGCATTAAGCCATATACAAAAGCAAAGAGAACTCAAGGCATAAATAACCTTCAATGAGCTAGCCGTCTTTTAATACTATACACAGGCATACAAGGAGTAAGAGATTCACGAAGAAAATGCTCCATAGAAAAAAAAATCAATCTGACAGAGGCGACTGTAGAAAATATTCCCCTTACTGATGCATTAAGGGCGGGGGTGCGTGTTGTACTTTACAACTCTTCTTCTTAATGAAATGATATGCAGCTCTCCTGCTTATTCGAGAAAAAAAAATCTCCCGGAGACATGATTTTTGTTAATAGGAAATGGAACAATATGGCAACCTTTTTTAAAAAAAAAAAAAATCACGACTAGGCAAAATTGCTGAATAGGGTAGTAAGCTTGGTGCAGAATCAGAAAATTCTTTGCCCCACAAACAGAAGATGAATATTGGACCAAAAGGTGATCAAACTCCAGGAGCTGGCAAATTGCCATGGAAGGATTATTCGATAACAAAAGGTAGAAATGAAGAAGGTATGGTAACCTTCCTGGACAAGCATGCTTCTGACTGGGAAATGGAGATGTTGCTAGGAAAAGAAGATGTGCTGGTGAGCAGGGAACCCTTATTTCGAAGATTCTGTTAACTCAGGGGAGTGGATCGATCGTAAGAGGTACTCCTTTGCAGGCTATGCAGGAGAGATTGAGCCTATCAGGGTAACATTGCTTATGAGGGGCTGTTGATTGGTGCAATTCAGTTCAGGCCATGGGAAAGACTATGGAATTGGGCACCTGGCAAGTGTAAATTCTTCATGTGGTTGGTTGCCCATAACAAATGTTGGACAGCTGATCGCCTCGCCAAGAGGGGGCTGCCTCACCCTGAATGCTGTCCACTCTGTGACCAAGCTGAGGAGACAATCGACCACTTGCTAGTCTCTTGTGTTTTCACTCGGGAAGTGTGGTTCATCATCCTACAGAGTTTTGGTCTGCAGCCCCTATCCCCTCAGCCTGACGACACCTCCTTTAATGACTGGTGGGAAAGTTCAGTTTCTAGAGTGGATGGTCAAATTAAAAAAGGTCTCAATTCTATCATAATTTTGGTGGCTTGGTCAATCTGGAATCATCGCAATCGCTGCGTGTTTGATGGGATTACCCCCAACCTGAATGGTGTTTTGTTGCTCATTAGAGAGGAGATACTTCTATGGAGTCTGGCTGGGGCTAGAGAAATTTCTCATCTCGTCGCTCTAGTGCCAAGTGCAAACTAGGACTCTCTTTCTTGGTCGAGGTCAAGTCTTTTTTGATGTAATAGGCGAGCAGTGGTTTTTTGAGTGAGGTGCGGTGTGTGTGGTGTTGTTGTTTTTGGGTTATGGGGTTTTACACCCCTTTTCTTCTTCTTAATATATAATGATACACAGCTCTCCTGCGTGTTCGAGAAAAAAAAAACATTGCTTTGGCAGGGTACGGCTGTTCTGTTTCTGAAACCTGGGCACGACAGGATGTTTCCTCTGGAAGCTAGTAAGGGGAGGAGAGAGTTTTTAATCAATTTGTGATGTTTGATCCACCCAAAAAGAAATTGCATGAGGCATTTAACATTTCAACAACGATAACAATCAAGAAGTTCAGACAGCAAACAGATGTTTACTCAAATTAGCATATTAATCACTATAAAATGAATATACTTATTATACTAATAGATTTATCTAACATTAAGTCCATTTTTCTTCACCTTGCAAATATCGTTTTGTTATTCTGTGTCATCCTAATCCTAATGGAAAATGGATGAACCTTCTTCTTTAAACTTCTCCAAAGCGCCAAGGCATAAATAATGCACACATTCCACAGTTTGTTCACTGGGGCAAACATTAATCTGCACATTCAATTCGATGGAATACAACATAATCACTTCCACTGAAAACATATTAATTCATTTTTTTTTTGGGGATCAGAACATATTAGTTCATTTGTACCTTCAATAAGACAGTAGAGCAGTAAACAAGCTCACCTGGGAACCCTCTCTCATTGCTAATTACAGATCTACGAATCCTACACTGGAGGGCAGCACTTTTCTTCTGAAAGGAAAGAAATATTAGTTGCTCTACCAAGTATAAGACACGCGTGTACACGTGTACACCGGATAATTGTTGCCTAAAAAGAATCGAACTTAATAGTCATAATACTACACATGTATACACTATACAATAGATCAGATTTGAATACCAATAGCTTAAGTTAGGGGAAGAGAAGGGGTGGGCATATCTGGTCCTAGACTCCTGGTGGGTGCTCGTCGCCGGCGAAGAGCCCGAACAAGACCTGGCCCTGACGTAGAGCGGCGGCGGCTATCGCCACGAGAGGAGAGAGAGAGAGAGAGAGAGAGAGAGAGAGAGCCCGCGTACGCGGAGGAACGGGAGAACCAAACCCAAGCGAGAGAGCAAGGAGAGAGACAGAGTACACCGGCAATTGTCAAGAATGATGAATACGTCCGAAAGCTTTCGACTAACCGGAAATTTTTGATATTGATGAATTAGTCTGAAAGATTAAGATCAGATATAAATGTTGAGATTCACGAAGTCAGCTAGAATAAATTTAGCAAAATGTAAACGCTCGCGTCAAGTCAAAGGTGCCATTAGCTGGTCTGGTTTCCAGAACAGCCGGCTAGTTCGTTCTCACAGCGGCACTATTTATAAACCAGCCGTTACAGTATTTCTTTCTCACACAACCAGCTGCTACAGTATTTTGGCTTCTTTTTTCAGACAAGCGAACGGGGCCAAAAACGTAAACCTAAACGCATAGTTCGTTGTTGTTTTTGGTACTTTAGTTTAGGTTATTATTAGGTTTTTTCGAATCCAAATATTTTTTCTGTAGAATTACCTGATTTTTTTTAAAAAATATATGAATCTTGTGAAATTCCTGTGTTAAATAACTCTGGTTAAATTACCTCTCTCATAAAAAAGTTAGATAACTAATAATGTTGAATCAACAAATTATACAAAACGGCCCAACCAAAAAATATTGAATTAATAGTTTTGGTAGAAGTGTTGAATCAACAAGTTCTATGTTATAATATAAGTAAAGAAAACCAGTCAATATAAATAGGACATGGAAACAAACCTCTAAGAAACAAAAGATGTGGGAAGCGATGCCAAAAAGAAAAAGTGAATGAAAAAATAACCAAAATTAATAATTGATCGAGTAGTGGTCGACCACTAAGGACCTATTTGGTAGAGCTTCACCACTGAAAAGGTGAATCTGGATTCAGAATTCACCATGGAGTAGCTTCACCATATATTTTTATGGATTTTGCAAGAAATTTCATGAAATGGCTAAATCCATCCCTTTTTGCTTGGTAGCAAGGTTGAGCAAGACCCCATCTCTGATCTTGGTGGCCTAGAGGTCACCCATCAAAGATAAGTTGCCATGCCCAATCTCATGAATTTCTTTTTCATTTCTCATGATTAAATTGATTCACAAATCACTATGGTGCACATGATAACTAGAGCTAAAAACCTAGTCATCACTAGCCCAACATGTCACCTAAACAACCCTAGAGAGCCCCTACACATCCATGGTAAACATCACCCACAATCTAGGCTTGAATCACAAATAAGCAATATGAACAATGAAGAACATATGTTCTGGCGTCCGTCACATTCACATATCATCCGTCAACACCAACGCTTAACCAAATCACGGTCAAACACAGTCCGTAGTGATAATGAATTCACGGATCGTCCACGAGATCCACAGATCTTCCATCAACAATTAAATTTGATTTCAAGAGAACCCGAGAGCACAGATGTAACGACCCGAGTTCGTTACAATATAGGCTCTTATTTTGGACCATCAGAGGAAGCATCCTACCAAGCTCCTGTGGAAATCCATGGTGCTTTGAGCAAGGTCAATAGTTGTGAATCCATTAGTTCACCCCGCAAGTATCCTCGGATAGACATGGTCAGGCTAATGACCAAAGGGATTAGGCAATTTCTACATAAGCTAGAAGGCAATCTATTGATATCATCAACACCAACTCAACCTCAGGGACTATCCTAGAATAGGATATCTTGGTCTTCAATACAAAGCCATCGAGTCACTTGAGCACTTCAGCAAAGACAAAGATTCACCAGAGACTCCACCAAAAAAAAGATGTACCAGACCATCTGCCAGGTCATAGAACAAGAGTAAGTGGAAGATGAGTTGTTTTCCATTTATAAAGACTTGGGCCCACATATCAGCACAAGAATGAGATATCCCTCAGCTGAAGCCACACCTCCTCACTCTCTCTCTCACCCATTTCTTCATTTGCATCCATCCCTCTCTCACTCTACACTAAAGAACAAGCAAGAACCCTAGAACTAGAGGGAGAAAGGATTAGGGGAAGGATTGGAGAAGGAAAGGAAGAAGAAGAAGAGAAACATCAACAACACCTCATGGACATCCTCCACTTCTCAACCTCATTCATGATGAGCTCAAGAAGAGTAACCCTCATTTCTTGGATTTCTCTCCAAAAACCTAATCTATGGTTCTTGGTGCAAGATTGAAGACTTCTTGCTGGTGGTGATTCCATCATAGGTGGAGTAAGTTCAAGAGATCCTCATCTAGCTCAATCACCCAATCACCCTATGCATTTCCTTTGATTCATATTTTGGAATGTTTGCAAGAGGAAGCACATGGGAAGCCAATTACTCTTTTGGATGTAAAAGCAAGGATGGAAAGAAGTTGGATCTTCAAGTTTTTGGCTACGGAAGCTCTCAAATCTCAGAGCTAAGGATTTTATCTCAATCTCATGACTTATCTCCCTTTTATTATATTTTTGGTTTAATCCCAAACCCATAGTTACACTTAGTAAACCTAGCTCAAAACATAGTTATCTTGAGCCTAGTGAGTCACCTAAACTACCATAGCTAGGAATGTCTTGCACATGCATGCATCACAGCACCACACATCTAGGATTGAAACCCAAGATCACCCATGAAAAGCTATGAACATAGGTTCTGCCGACCTATTGACGGAGAGTCCATTAGATACGATGGAGAGTCTGCCAGCCTTAATAGGTTACCCAACAAATCCTTAAACTCCTTTGGAGTGAGTCAACGGAGAGTCCGCGACATTCCAAGGAGTGTTCGCCAATTTATAAAGATAGTGACCAAAGTACTCGAGAGCACCAAGTTTCTAGTGGAGGGTCCGTGACCTTTCACGGAGAGTCCGCTGAATTATAAACCTAGTTAACCAGCAACCCGAGAGCTCCCAGTTTTTACCGAAGGGTCCGCCAAATGGATCGGACCGTTCAATGAAGGATATGAACCTAGAAATGCTAAAGTCCTAAACCACCAGAGTGTTCTTCGGAGCATCCACTAAGTAACGGAGTGTCCGTCACCTAGGACGGAGAGTCCGCCAACCCTAACAAAGTCAAACCAGAACCAAGTCACCTCGGAGCCCAACTCGACGGAGAGTTCGCCACATATAGCGAAGAGTCCGTCAGTTAACAGAAGATGTGAGATTGTTTAGGAAGCTTACCCATGAGGTCAACAATACTAGATCAAACCTAGTTATAAATATTGCAATAGTAGAGTCTTGTTAGACATCTCTTCCAAAGTTCCAACTCGGTTCTTGGTCTCTATGTCTCTATCGATTATCTTCAATCTCGATTCCCGTTTCTTTCATGAAATCGTGTAGCATGAGGAACGTGTATAAGTCACCATCGTCAGCTTCGGATTTGTTCGAACGGTATAACTAGGCAGGCACCCCACTACTATGAACCCTATTTTGGATACTCATTATTTGTCTCATTATGAGTTGTGCATTTGATTGGGATGTGGTTAACAACTTAAATCGGCTTCATTAATTTAGAACTACTCATTAAGTAATTAGAGCCCTTCACTTAATCGACTAGGTTTGGAACATTTAATTGCTTAGATCCATTAGAAGTCGAGTTTAAGAAGGGAATGCACTCTCGCACGTGTAGGATGCTACACCGGGTTAACTAATTACTAAAACTTGAGAGGGTTACAACTTATCTACTTCCCTAATCGTGACTAAGGACCAACCTCAATACGAAAAATAAACTTGATGATCAATTTGGTAATTCTTGCTCATACAAGGGGTAGGTCACTGTAAGTGTTAGATCTCAAGTGGCGTAGCTCATGGAGCGATTAAGGACAATGCATTGGGATATGTGAGTCTCAGTAACCACCTGTACAGACCACATGTTGCATATGGGGGCGTCAAGCTGAGTAACTAAGTGCAACCGATCTATCCGTGAAACTGGCAAGAAGGTGGCACCGGTTAGATGGTGGTAGCGTTAATCGGGAACCAGTTGAACCTTTCGTCGGACATTCTGGCCGGGTTAGGGAAAGGTTGGAGACGTGAGGCAACCCTTATCTTTGTGCACAAGATATGGTGATTAGTCCCGTTCTTCCGTGTGGATACAGTTGTACACCTCTGCAGAGTTTATTTGAAAGCCTGAAGTCCCTTGGGTAGAATCTTTTCGGTTGTTCTTACTTTCTATACCCATGGTAGAACTAATGGCAAATGGTATTATGATATGGATTGATGTGGTAATCATTTTATATGTGCTATCTACTACTATTTCTAACAACTATTAATGATCATGTCAAACTTGAATCTTGAGCATGTCATCTTAAGAAATGTCATTGCTTTTCTGCAAATGTACAAATGCCTGATAATATCCGCATCCACCAGATATTTATATGTTGGAATTAAGTCCTACGAGTACGCAACGTACTCATGGTGCTGCCGATAAGTTGTTTGGCAGGTATCTTGATTTGGTTGTCTTGAGCCAAGGCTCACCCTACTGATGACTAGCGGACCTTAGAACGGGTGATTCCAAGATGAGCTGTAGGTTATTAAACTCCGATAAGCTTTGAGTGATTTTCCCAGAGCTGAGCCATAGAGGGTTAAAATGTGTTCTTGCATAACCTTACTTGTGGTCATTGTATTTTGAACCAACTTAAATAGTATGATTTAAATTATTTGAGTTGAAGGGCACAATGTTGCGTGTTATGT